CCCCAGCATCCCTATAGGCCCCCTTCAGATACTGGAAGGCTGCTACGAGGTCTCCACGCAGCCTTCTCTTCTCCAGGCTGAACAGCCCCAACTTTCTCAGTCTGTCCTTATACTGGAGGTGCTCCAGCTCCCTGATCATTCTCGTGACCCTCCTCTGGACTTGTTCCAACAGTTCACACAGTATCACAGTATGCTAGAGATTGGAAGGGACCTCGAAAGATCATCTAGTCCAATCCCCCTGCCGGAGCAGGAACACCTAGATAATGTTACACAGGAATGTGTCCAGGCGGGTTTTGAATGTCTCCAGGGAAGGAGACTCCACAACCTCCCTGGGCAGCCTGTTCCAGTGTTCCGTCACCCTCACTGAGAAGAAGTTTCTTCTCAAGTTTAAGTGGAACCTCTTGTGTTCCAGTTTGCACCCATTACCCCTTGTCCTATCATTGTTTGCCACTGAGTAGAGCCTGGCTCCATCCTCGTGACACTCCCCCTTTATATACTTATAGACACTTATAAGGTCACCCCTCAGTCTCCTCTTCTCCAAACTATAGAGACCCAGCTCCCTCAACCTCATGTCACTGACAAAGATGTTGAACAAGACCAGTCCCAGCACAGATCCCCAAGGGACACCCCTTGTTACTGGTCTCCAACTGGACATTGAGCCGTTGACCACAACTCTTTGTGTGCGGCCATCCAGCCAGTTCTTAATCCACCGAGTGGTCCATCCATCAAATTGATGTCGCTCCAATTTAGAGACAAGGATGTCATGGGGGACAGTGTTGAACACTTTGCACAAGTCCAGGTAGATGACATCAACTGCTCTACCCCTGTGCATCAGTTCTGTAGCCCCATCATAGAAGGCCACCAAATTGGTCAGGCAGGATTTCCCCTTAGTGAAGCCATGCTGGCTGTCACCAAGCACCTTGTTGATTTTCATGTGCCTTAGCATGCCTTCCAGGAGAATCTGCTCCAAGATTTTGCCAGGCACAGAGGTGAGACTGACTGGTCTGTAATTCCCCCGGTCATCCATTTTCCCCTTCCTGAAAATGGGGGTTATATTTCCCTTTTTCCAGTCATCGGGAACTTCACCTGACTGCCATGATTTCTCAAATATAATGGCCAGTGGCTTAGCAACTTCATTCACCAGCTCCTCCAGGACCTGCGGGTGGATTTCATCAGGTCCCATGGACTTGTGCGCGTTCAGGTTCTTAAGATGGTCTTGAACAGGCTCCTCTCCTACAGTGGGCCTAGGGTCTTCATTCTTCCAGTTCCTGCCTCTGCCTTCCAAGACTTGGGTGGTTTGGTCAGAGCCTTTGCCAGTGAAGACCGAGGCAAAGAAGTCATTCAGAACCTCAGCCTTCTCCAAATCCTGTGTAGCCAGTTCTCCCGAGAGCTTCCAGAGAAGGTCCACGTTGTCGTTAGTCTGTCTTTTATTCACTATGTACCTATAGAATCCCTTCCTCTTATCTTTCACATCCCTAGCCAAGTTTAATTCTAACTGGGCCTTAGCTTTCCTAACCTGGTCCCTAGCTTCCCGGACAACATCCCTGTATTCTTTCCAGGCTGCCTGTCCTTGCTTCCACCTTTTATAAGCCTCTTTTTTTCCCTCTAAGTTTCCTCAGCAATATCTTATCTATCCACGGAGGTCTCCTGGCCCTCCTGCTGCAGTTCCTTCTAGTTGGGACACAACACTCCTGAGCTTGTAGCAGGTGATCCTTGAATATCAACCAAGAGCCTTGGCCCCCCCTGCCCTGAAGCATCACATTTCCAGCCAGCCCCTCCCTGTTGGTGATCATGAGGTCAAGCATGGCACCTCTCCTTGTCTCTATTACTTGCAGAAGGAAGTTGTCTTTCCATAGTCTTCAGCCTCTCCCTAACATAAATAGCAACTCTCCTCCCCGTCTGCTGGGCCTGTCTTTCCTAAAGAGCCTGTAACCTTCCATTCCAACACTCCAGTCATAGGAGCCATCCTGCCATGTTTCTGTGATACCAACTATATCATGTCCCCGTAGACGTGCACACATCTCTAATTCCTCTTGTTTGTTCCCCATACTACAGGCATTTGTATAGAGGCATCTTAGCCGAGCTCCAACTGAAGCCGACTCATTGGCTGGAGTGGCTGGGTTATCTCTACATTGCTATGAGCATTTATTATAGGTGCTGGCAACTGACTGGTTGTGTTGAGATGGCATGATGCCCCCTTCCCCCAATACATCTAGTTTAAAGCTTTCTTGACCAGCCTGGCAAGCTTGCTACCAAAACTGCTCTTCCCCCGTCAGCTACACCAGGCTCCAGGAGACCTGGCCTCCCAAATCCGAGTCCCATCATCATCACCATCACTGTAGTAGAGCTGGTGACTGCTCATGGTTTCTTCCCTTATTGTTCCAACAGCTGGAGCAATTTTATGCCATAGCTTTGTTATGGGTGAATTGTTCTTTCAGTTCTTTCCTATTCACTCTTATCCTTCAAACAGGTTTAGTCTCAGTGTTTTATGTCCTTGCACAGTACAAGGAGGAAGGTTCAAGCATGCACCACTGCTTCAGGCAGGACCTCTCAAGATCAAATCGATACTCTCATGGTTTTATGCAGTTGGCAGGAGCTCGCCAGTCTGGCAGCTGCCAACATCTGGGCAGCTCACCTGCCTTCCTCCCAGGTTGCTTTGTGCAGCACAACCACCAGAGAAGCTGCTGAGGAGGACATAAGCCTCAGGTGGGCCCTGGGTTTTGTTATCAGCGCAAAACACATAATGAGCATTGACCTCCCTGCATAGTGGATTGGTTCTGGTGGCATTGTCAGAGCCTGCTTTGCTGCTAGGGAGCCTGTGACTACCATTGCAGATGAAACATCACTGGACAAAGTCTCATCTTCCCTTGCTTTAAGTTGAATATGACTGTAAAGTAAGCAGCCAGATCCAGCCCAAAACTCACTGCAATTGAGCATCTTTAACAGTTTTTATGAGGTTTTGGGGAATGAGTCCAGCCAAGGCAGAAGGCTTAAAACTACCTATCCCAACATTTCTTGGCCCAGAGTTTAGTAGATCTGTAGAAGTGGTTAAACTTCTGGATTGCCTTCCACACTTGAACCCTTGCCTGAGTCTAGCAAGTTGACTGAAGCCTTTCTTAATTTTTAGTTTTTTAAGTCATCTACATGTAGACCTTTTGTAGGTAAGGTCAGCATCCTGAGCCTAATGATAAATATAAAAATGAGAAAATTGCATATGCAACACCACTACCTTACGGAGACCTATTTGTATGTTGCCATGACATAAAATAGTCTTTATTCCTGCATCTTAAACTGGGGTTGGGATATTTGAAATATAATAATTTCTTGGGTTAGGGAGACAGCTGCTCTGTTCTTCCTTCCTTAGCAACACGAGGCCACAGGAGGAGGTCAAAAGATTATTCTTTTTTCATTATTCTTTATTCAATTCTTCAGTGGAAATGGACAGTCTTTTTATTGAATCCATGTATTTCATAGCTGCTGATGGGAAGCTGGTTTGTGTCCCACAAGGAGTTAGAGAACTTTGGATGTTCTCCTTTTTACTGGAGTTTAAGGCTTCCTCAGGGGAAGGATGGTGCACAAGTCTGCTAGAGATCCTTTCTTACTGCTGCAGACTCCACTCGATGTACTTCGATACATGGGGGTGACAGAATGAGCATCCTCCATCCTTACCTGCATGGGAAAGCTCAGCACAGTGCATCTTGCTGGGAAGGATTTTTTCCTTGGCTCAGAATATCTGTGGTACCTCCATCACTGGACCTCTTGTTTAAGCTGGATTGCTTCTGCTTCACCTACAAATTGCACTGTGACAAGTGATGGAGCATCCTGGAGCAGTGGCAGTTTTGCTGCAGATAAATGCTGAGAAACTCCCAAGCCACTCAATTTCTATGCCATGATAGCTGTGGAACATTTTCTGATGTAAGCTTTTAAACTCTACCTGGTGGCAGGGAGATGAGTTGGATACAAGTAATCTCAACCTGTCTCTCTCTGGTTATCAGCCTCTGTCAGTTGATTGCATTTTGGACAGCCGAGCGGGGTAGAGCAGTATTGCAGTGATGGCTGTAATCACCTTGAATGACCCTGGTTTCACCCCTGAGGAGACAGTGTTCTGTTTTTCTTTTCCCCTAGAGCAGTTTCCAAGTTCAGCCCCTTAAGACTGAGCTGAAAAGCCTCACTTTCAGGAGAGATGGCTCTGCTCCTGGGGTGCCCGTCCCTCTCTGTGTGGCCACTCACTCCATCTGTCTCATCAATAGATTTTCCCTCCTGGAAGCCAAATGCTGCCTGCAGGCCCCCTCAGATCGCTGCTGCTGTGCAAATGAGGGAAAATGAAAGCAAGAAACAGAGGTTTGACTCCAGGCACTGAAGGCAATTGTCATATTTTTTTCTTCAACACCCGAGTGGGAGTTGGCTGGGATCTGTCAAGCTGCAAGTTCTCACACATTGGGTAAATATTTGTGGTCTGATTCACCACTGAATCACTCCGTTATTTTTTTGGCCCTGTTCAGGGAAACTGCTTTGTCACTGGGATAACACCAGCTCTCTGAGGCCCTCTCACCTTCATATTTTAGCACCTCATTGTCATGTGTGCCTGTCCTCACAGTGACATCAGGATGGGGAGATGGTGTTGTCCCTTCCTGGCAGAGGAAATCAGAGGCACACTGGTCACAGGCACCTGAGTTTTCTCTGACACTAAACCCAAAACTGGTGGAAAGCTCCAGCTGTCAGCTGGTGAGACCTCAGTGTGATGCTAAAGTGTCCATGCATAGCATAAGGTGGTACACATGCAGTATCACACCCTCTCTCATGCGATTTGCCATGTTTTAGGTGCCCCTTGGTGAATGGAGGTCATAACCAGCTCCTGCTGCTACATGGTAGTCATACAATAGCTGCACTGCTTGTCTTGCTATACCTGGAAGAGCTTCTGGGGGAACGCAAGAGTGTTTTTCCCTCCAGAGACAACTGTGCCAGTGTTTTGTGTGTACAGATCTCTTCTTTCATTGCAGGTGGAAGAGAGCATGATGGATGTGTATGATCTTGTGTATGAGGAGGTGAGGAGGAATGCCTCCAGCTTCAGGAGGCACGAGCTGACTGCCATCCACAAAGCAGTAAGTTGTCTTTCTCAGCCTTAGCAGAAAACCTTGCCCTAGGGTATCTTCCCAAGGTTTCAGCAGGCTGAGTCTGATGCCTGTGCTCTGCCTCATGGATGCTGCAGTCTCATTTTCCCTCAGGAGTAGAGTACTCCAGCCTGCTAAGAAGTCTGCTCCTCCCTTCCTACTCTTCCTCTCCAAGGTCTGACCAACCAGATTACCAACAGGAGGAGAGGGCCACCTCCCTGAGCATCATTCATATGTGAGATCATCAGCACTTCTGCACAGTAGCTGTTACACATATTGTCTGTCTAAGCAGGCCCTCTGCTGTGTTCCCTATCTGTAGTACAAGAAAGTGGACATACACCTCTTGTGTCCCTGGACAGGCAAAGAGAGGGAGAGAATTCCACATTGTGTAGCAGAAGTATTTGGACTTGGTTATTTCTGTTTATCCTTGAGCCTATGACTGAGGAGTACTGGAGGCTACCAGGCCTCTTGCAATCCTGGAGACTGCTAGCAAGCTCCCAAAACCTACCACCCAGGATGCTGTTGGGGCAGGGGACTTCTCTTTAGCTTGGTAGGTGGGCAAGGGTGGTGACCCAGATCACAGGGAGGACGTTTGCCCTCAAAGCCACAGGAAATGAGGGTGTCCCCCGTGGTGAGAAACTCCTGAGTTCCTGCTGAGTAAAGGAGATGCTGTTCCATCCACCTCCCACTCAACTCCCTTTATCCTCCTGTGTTTTATTAAATCATTGTAACAAGTACTTTCTGAAGCTGTTTTCATCCATGCTTCTCAAAACACAGAAAAGGGCAAATGTTTCTCATTGCGATGATGGTGGTGGCCCTCAGCCATGACCAGCCAGAGTGGTGCTTGCTCTGCAGACTTTTGGAGCAATACACCTAGAGTCCTGCTTGTCAAGGAGAACCAGGCACAATACCCAGCTTTATCAGTTCATCAGTTGCTCATTTTAGCTACTTTAATTGATGGAGAAACAGTCCCTCTACTTCCATGGGCATCCCCTTGCTAGAGCTCCAAGCTGGCCAGTTCACCCCAGCTATAGGAAGCCATTTCCATAGTGGGTGTTGCTGGGGATCCTCCCAGCCCATAACAAACACTGGGGTCCTTGCATCCCTGGGTTTTCCAGACTAGACACTGTGAGAGCTGGTGTGACCGTGGAGGGAGGGCTTGGCCACAGCCTCAGGCAGCAGTCCTGGAAAAGCACAGGCAAATTTGGGGCAAGATCCATGTGCGTCCTCTGAATTTAACCTCCATTGGTGTAGTTGTTGATTGCATACCTACATGCTTCGCTCCTTGCAGCCCTGCTTGTGTAGCCCTGCCTGTGGCAGCAGGGGGGAAGCGTGGCCCATCACTGATGCCTTCTGCTGTGTCAGCTGGTGGCAAGGAGAGAGCTCCGGTGTGTGGCTGGCAGATCTCTCCATCTTTTTCCAGTTCCTGTGCTGTGGGAAGCATTCTCCGTTTGGGGACACAACCAACATTGACAGCAAGACATGCCCACCTGGCCAGGCAAATGATGCCGGACAGGTAAGGGAAAGGTTTCCTCATCCACACAGTGGGGCTGTGCTGCTACTCAGTAACTGTTAATGACAACTGTGGCTTTTCCACAGTTTGGGGTTACTTTGGTTGGGGGTTAGTTGTGGTGGGGTTTTGTTGTTTCAGTAAGGAGGAGCCCCAGTGGATCACAGGTGTCAGACTCACAGATGTGATTTCTTTTGCAGCTCTAGAAACCCTTCAAAATGCCTGTGTTTACAGCCTGTCACCTCCCTTCAGCTTTCTCTTCATCTCCTGCATATGCAGAGTGTGAGATATCATGGCATGTCTGAGCTCACATGTTGGACTTTTCCACTTGACACTACTTTCTGAGGCTTCAGAAGTGTCACACTAACAATAAATGTGGAATTTTCTGTAATTGCTTTTTCCCAGGGCATTAAATAAGTACTAAAATGAGCACCTCATGAAGCAGAGTGATGATGCCCAGCAGTAGCGTCATCAAGTATATTTCATTCCTCCTCTTTTCAGTAGCTCAGTGAGGTTGATGGAGAAGCCACCAGTATTAGACTGCCTCTGTGCTGAAGCCGTAACATAGACTTCATACTCTCTGAGCAAAGTTCATCATCTCTGATGTTTTTTCTTCCACAGGAGTAGCCAAATCAGCTGAAGTAGCTGAAGTTTCCAGCATCAATATGTGTGTTGATGGAAAACAAAACCGTTTTGCTACAGCTATACAAAAACTTTGTTAGGCAAAGATGTCACACGCTAACAGGACACCATGATGCGCAGGCACGCATCAGCCAGTGGCGCAGCCTCTCAAAGCACTGCATCCAGGAAGCAGGGGCAGAATAGACCAAAGAGCTCAAAGAGCAGAAAGGGAGGGAAGAGTTAAACCAGGCACTATGTGGGTGACTGTTCGCCTCCTTCCCCCCCCCCAGGTTTTGTGTTCCCTCTGGTAGCGAGCCGGGGGAGGTGGGCTAGGGGGATGCATTTTGCAACCCAGAGAACCACAGTGCTTGGTAGCTGCGCTGCATTCACTCCTGGCTTTGCGTGCTCTTACTTCACTCTGCAAATCACTTAATCAAGGGCAGGCTCTTGCGTTTTTTAAATGGCTCTCTTAGCTAACACCTCCTGGATTTCCGTGGGGCTGCTGGCATGCTTAAAGCTAATGTATATTAATACTTGCGAAACCTTGCAAAACTGAGCAGTTCATTAGTGTCTTTGAGGAATGTATTTAGCATTACAGTGTGCTCTGCTTTTCTGTCTTGTCTTTTCCCTCTTTTCATTTTCCAGTGGTTGGAAACAAAAGGAAGTTTGCATGACCACACTTACCCGTACATGCACAAATCCCCCACAGTCTGAAACACATCATACCAAGGAAATTGTAGGTGTATTGTAGCAATAGGAAATACACTGCAGATGATTGTCTTCCCATGTTGCAGCCAGCAGCAGGATAAAGGAGAGCTGATCACACAGCAGCCCATTTGTGCAATGCTGCATCCTCCTCTTGTTTCCTTTTCTATCCTGGCTTGTGGCAAGTGTTCTTTGCAGGGACAAAGCCCCACAGCTGAGCTGCTGCTGCACTGCAAAGGGTCTCTCTCTCCCTAGGACTGCCTCCGAGAGATCCAGTTCTTCCTGAAGAAGCACATGGACTTTGTCACCACACTCCTGGGCATCACCATTGGCTTCACGGTATCTGTTTGTTCCTTCTCACTTTGGCCCCAGGAGGCAGGCTCCAGCATGGAAACATATCCTAAATTAGCCCCCAGAAGCTAGAATTTTGGGTAATTTTGGAGACTGGGGTAGAGAAACAAGCAGTGGTGGACTGCCCTGTGGAAATTATGAAAGGGCCAGGACCTGTCTTATTCAGGCTGATGGATGGAGGTTTTCTCCTGCAGGAATAGCCTTGCTGCCTGTTTTTTCTGACCAAACCAGGCATGACAGGTGGGACTGGGGAGCAGCGGGAGCTGGCATTTCACCCACCCAGGTTTGCCTGTGCATCCTCTCCTGCAAGTGAGATGCTGTGTCACCTGGCACAGGGCTTGCAGATGAGGTTGGAAGCCAGCAGTAGTTATGGAAAAGGAGATGCAGTAAAAGCTCTGTATTAGGAAACTTGCTGCCTCTCCTTGCCCAGCACTCACTGGCTGCCTCCCAGCTCAGCTCGGGAAGTCACTTTGTTTGACCAGAGCTGGAAGGTCTTTAAAGCTACTGAGCACCAATAGCGGAGCTGGAGAGTTGTGTGGGAAGGGAAGGTCTCATCCTCTTAATGACCACTAATTAGCCCAGGAAGGTGCATCTTGGGCAGTGGGTGGTTAAAGCACAGGCTTGTAAGGAGCAGAGGAGAGTAGCATGTTGCCTGGGCTCCCAGGTACCGTCTTTGAAATAGGATCTTGCAGAGGAGGGGTAGGATGATTTGGGTAGAAAGGGTCTGTACTGAATTTCTGAGTCTTATTTGGGGGAAGACAAAAGGAAAAATGAGATACTGCAAGAGGAACATGTCCTTAGGTGGTGAGGGAGCTCGATGGCCGCATGGGGAACGTCCCTTCAGAGCTGGAGAGTGCTAATTAAAACAAGTTTGCTTGCATGCTTGGCAGAGGTGTATTGCTGCAATTACCTCTACACAGGGGCCCTGCATGTGTGTTGAAGCACACCAGAAAAAAGTACATACCAAGAGATTTGTTTCTTCACTAAGAAGGGAGATTCGGGCTGCTGTGGTATCTCCATGCTGCTCTCCAGCTGGGGCAGCCTTTCCTGCCTGATTTAATTCCTTCTGTCTGCCTTGGCACAATTATGAGTTAGAAGACTTTTCTTCATCTAAATAAAGCCCAGAGGAACAAGCACTTTTGTGTTTTATACTCCTAGTAGTAAATTAGGAAAACCATCAGGCATTGCTATGGCTCTATAAATGTAAAGTCATGTGTGAATACATGGTGTCACTTTCTAATTTTTCTCAGGTATAGGAGGAATTTCACTGCAGCTATATTCAGACAAAAGTGGGAGCGGGTTTTATTATATATATCTCTTTTTCACAGCTTGATGCCATAGCCATATAAGGCAGCTCTCTTTAAAGTGTGTCCTAGAGGAAGTCTCACTGCACAGTTCACTATTGTGATGGCAGGATGCAAGGGAGGCATGCAACAAGGACTATAACTGCTCTGATGTCACTGTTCCTCAGCCAACAATGCATACGTGGCCCCATATCAATCCACAAGCAAAGGCACTTGCATGTTAAGGCAGAGGCTTTGGGGGAAAAGCACATTGTTTATCCTTCCGACAGCAGCCTTACCTTTGATATGTTGCCTGTGTAATCCTGGTTTGTGATATATTAGGGAGAATGTTAAAATACAGAGGAAATGTACTGTCCTTTGCCTTCTCAAGTGTGCACGTGCATGGGGTGGGGGTTGGACTTTAAGGTTTTTTGTTTGTTTTGTTTTGTTGGGATTTTTTTACTCCAAACAATACATGAGGATTGTTTGGGTTTTTTGTTATGGTTTGGTTTGGTTTGGTTGTTTCTCCCTATGTTCTCTTTACAAAAGGATGTTATTAAGAGAGAGATCTGTTTGTTTGCAGAGAGAAATGTTTTGTGGTTAGAATTTGAAATCTGAATTTCCTGGTTTCATCTCATTTCTTGGTATTTTCAGGGCCAGGTTTGAGCCTTACTGTGCTAATTCTTATCAGATGCTTTTTAGCCACATGTTGGTCTTTATTTTTTTTCTTCCTCTTCCCCTCCAATTGGTGCTCACCGTTCTACCAGAAAACAGCTCTCAAGAAAAATGTTACATCCCAATACATAAATTCAGAAGTGCCAGGTGGACTAATAGGCAGCACTTATGATAGCTTATTTGCACAAGTAGAACATCATAATCAGTTCAGCATTTAATTGTGTGCCCATCTCATGTGTTTCCTTTTAGGTTTATGGAATGATCTTGACTTCATTCCTCTGGTTCTCCATCCACTTCAGCAGCAACCTGGATAGGAAAGGAAAATACATTCTGCGAGAGAGGTAGAAACCCATCACCTGGGCATCCCCACCAGGCAGAGCCAGATTTTGCACAGGAAGATGTCTGAAGTCACACACAGAATCCCCTGGGAAGGCTTTACATGGGTTCAGGCAGTGGGGTGTGTGTGTCATGCATTTCCCCTTCCTGCACTACTAGCTGTTGTGTGTTTCTGAGCTGGTCAGAGCAGATGGTGCTCTGAGGAGGGGCAGTGCCACACCTTCACCAAAAATGAACAAGGCCTGAGACACACTGGAGGACTGAGAAACTGGAGCAGGTTGCCCAGAGAAGCTGTGGCTGCCCCATCCCTGGCAGTGTTCAAGGCCAGGTTGGATGGGGCTTGGTGCAACCTGGTCAAGTGGAAGGTGTCCCTGCCAGTGGCAGCGTGGTTAGAACGAGATGAACTTTAAGGTCACTTCCAACCCAGACTGTTCTGTGATTCTATGATGCACCTAGGCTTGGAGATGCAGATCAGCTCACCAGGAGACATAGGGGCTGTAGCTCCACAAACAGGACACAAAGAGCTCCTTAAGACAAAGATGGAGAGAAAAGCCCAGCAAAAATCACAGCATTAAACCAAACTTCTCTTGTGCTGTCATCTGAGCATTCCCTGTGACCCCCAAAGATGTGATATTTCTAGGAAGATGGCTTTGGATCACAGCCTGGGATAATCTTGGACTATTGGCAAATATATGGACACAAGGTGTGTCACTGGTGATGGGAAATGTGTTCTTGTAGCTTGGATGCTCATATTGATTGACTTTGGGCATGTTTCTGAGCATGCTCAAGTATGTAGGAAGCCAATGACTGTCAGCTGTTTTTCCCCTGTTTTCAAATATTGCCAGACTTACACCAGCTACCAGCTTTTGGTAGAGATCAGGAAAAAAATCAGAAAAACAGTGCATGAGCTTTGAAACAAATAACCAGCAAACAGACACTCTTATTCCTCTTTATTAATGCAATACACCATGATTTTTTAATTCCTAGCACGTAGTCAACCTCCTAGAGCTTGATGCCACACTGTTTTCACAGGGGCTTGTTCAACTTCTATCCTTAGCTCTGTGTTTATCTAGCTTCACTAACCCACAACACTGCTGTGCAATACAAAAGGACTTTGATATTACACATACATGCAGGTCTGAAGTTTAAATCTATAAAAGAACAGGACTGATCTTCAGCCAGGTCAAACAATACAATGTCCAACTCCATGTCCTCTCTTTACATCATCACCTTATCAATAATAAACAGAAATTTTAAAAGCCTCCATCAGCACTCAGTCTAGCTCAAGTGGTGGCTCCCTGGTGTGCTTTGCCCTCATTGCAAGGAGGCAGAGCCACCTCTGAGCTGAAACTCATCATTGCAATAGATTTAGCACGTGCTGGAAAACCTGCTGTAAACTGTATGGCTATGTGCAATGTCTTGAACCAACAACAGCTTTCACCCCTCTCCTTTGTTGTGGCTTTTAGCCATGAGAAACAGTAAGTAGCAATTGTTTATTGAGATAAATGTGGAAATCCCTGTGATGGAGTTCAGGACAGGTCCTGTCCCTCAGGCAGGAGCTGCTACACATACAAGAATAGCAGTACAGCGTACAGCACCGGGCTAGTATTTTAACATGGCTGCAATTACCTTGTGTTGGAAGGAATTGTGCTGGGGGGGAGGCTATCATTCCTTGTTCCGCTCTTCTGGAACCAGTGGAGCTTCACCGTTGACTTCACTGTAAAAAGCATCAAGTTCAAACTGCTCCAGAATGTTACTCAAACTACCTTGTAGCAGTCACCAACACACCCCAGTCTAGCAGGGACTTAGAGGTTATATACACTTGCCAACATACCCACATTCTATTTTATTTCTCTCCAGTGCCAGACAATCTCCCTTGTGAGCTCCAGCTGCTATTGTCCAGGCCACCACTATTGTTATTCCTTAGCCCAGCTGGCAGCTTGTGTGACTCATGGTTGCTTCAATAAAGATGAATTTCTTGCAGAAGGCCATCATTCCTTCTCTTTTTCTGCTGTGCACGAGGCTGCCTGCATTGCTCAGGGTTTGCGTCATGCAGAGCCCTCAGTAATTCTTTCAGTGCTGGGAAGAGATATTCCCCAGGCAGCTGGTGCTCGCCTGCCCCAGCAGCATGCCTTAGCACCCAAGAGCGAGAGGATGGCATTGGTCCTTTGGAGGAAAATGAGCTCTTCACCAGCCTGATCCTGCCCTTGGCTAGCTGCTGGCGCAGCAGGCAGGTGCTTTATGAGGACTAATGCAAGCAGAGGCAGGAAAAAAGCTTAAGGACCCAAGCAATTGAGACTGGAGTATTTATATAAAAGAAATCTCTACAGTTTCACCTTTTTAAACACTGTGTAGTCAGCTCTTGCTCATCACTCTGTGTTGGCTGGACACCTGATGATATTCTACACTGGAAATCAAGCAAATCAGTGTAGTCTGTGTTACTGGTGTGGGTTACCTGCTTAAGCCGTATCAACAAGGAGAAGAAATCTTTGTTAAAGCTTCACCACCAGGTCTGCCAAAAGCTTTAGGTGTTGAGATCACTATAGACAGGCATAGCATACATATGATAAAGTAAACCTGGAAGGCTATTGTATCCCCCTCCCTCAGCTCTCTCTTCCCTTGAATTGTTTATGATCAGTAAAATGTCACCAGAAGCAGCAGACAGACACCTCTCTAGCAGTGACCATGTAATGGTGTGTGTGCATAGCTGCTGTTTTTACACCTCTGTAATGATTTCTGGTGCTTGCGGCAGGGATGAGAACGCAACCTGCACCAAACCATCTCACAAAGGGAATAATGAACCTGGAGAGTTGTTGGTTCTTCTTCCCAGGCATCAGCAGACTGGGAGCATGCAATTTTTGTCCCAGGGAGCTGGAAGTTCCCTTTCTTCTTCTGACACCCAACTAGCTGGCCATCTCATGATCTCTATTGCCATTCCACCCACCACTGGAGTTCCCTAGCAAGGAGCAGCGCTTTTAATGAGCAGCCACCTGGCCAGACACACTCTCCTACCAGAGCTCGTGCTGTGTGTAGCACAGAAAATGGCATCCTGCTGTCGTTTTAAGGAGCAGGAATGTGGATATCTTCAACTTCTTTGTTTTTAGAAACCTAGTGCAGAAGAGTGCAGTTACCCTTTTGTTTGCAGCTGTAGAAATGGCAGCACCCATGGGATGGCTGGAGGGGTGCTGCGAAGCTGGGGTGAGGGGAGGGGGAGTTGAACAGGTTTCTTTACACCTCTGCCAACAAAAAATCCCTGTCCTGCAGTCAATGTGCTTGCACTCTTTAGTCCTTAAATTGCTGCTTGCTATGGGCAAATTATAGCTCTTGTGCAGCCAGAGCAAAACTCCAGGAACCTCTTGGTAAGTATTGCCGAGATTGACCCAGTGTTGAGAAGAGTGAGAGAGGTTTTACTGGGATAAGGGCTTGGAAGCAAGCAGAGGGGATGCAAAGCCAGCAGCCAGGCTAGGAAACACCTGCAGAGCCAGTGAGCCTTACTAGGGCTTGCAGAAGCAGAAGCTGGTTGTTACAAGCATGTCAACACTCAAACTCTGGTAGGGAAAAAATCCCTATTTATGTAGGCATATGCAGGAAGAGAAAAAAAAAACAACCTGGAGACCAAAGGTGCAAAGTTAAATATTTAACTGTGAATTGGCTCCAATTAATTGTCAGTTAAGCCCCAACAATCATCTACTGGTTCCACCAAGTTTACCTGAGCAGCTGCAGTTTGGCCTCTGTATAGGTAGGCATTACCTTGTGTGCATGAGTTATTCTCTTGTTTTAGACAAACCCCCAGCTGTAGCTGAGGACTTGGGAAGAGGAAGCAGACTAAGGGCAGGCAATTACCTACAGGGCTGGGGAACATCAGCCATGGCAGTGGTAAGAAGCCTTTTGTGCTGCTTTCCAACCTTGCTGCCCATGCACCACTCCAGTCCTGCTCTGCCAGCATGAGCATTAACTTCCCCTGGGGCTTTACATGGGGCTTACTGCATGCCCATGGGTGGCCTGACCACAGCTTGCCTATGAGACAGAGGACCTCTCTCAGAGCCTGCTCCGACAGCAGCAGATGCTGTTTTCCAAGGTACTGCTCATGGAGAACTGCAGGTGAGCATGGTGCAGCTTTACGCAGCAGCAAAGGATGCTCAGCACTTCTGCAAAGCAGATGTTTCAGTACCTGACAAAACCTTGTGAAAAGCAAAGATTAAGCAGTTTACTGACTCTCTAGAGGGATTTGATGGTAAGGAGAGTGGGAATCGTTCAGCCTCACGGTGCGCTGTCTTGGCTCCAAAATGTTTTGCTATTTTCTGCCATACTGTCTGTGTGTGTCAACTGCCAGTTCCACTGCTATCAAGATACAACCTTCTCATGCAACAGTCCCTTTGCGGCACAACTCTCATGTCTGCAGCAAGCTCCTAAAGGAGATGCCACTGAGCAAGTTCTGTGTAAGTAAGCATTGTAGGTTGGCAAACTTGGGTGGATCTTTGCTGTGCTGGGGTGGTGAGGAAACCATCTCCAGCCAAGGTAACGCTGCATTTCCGAGCTGCAGATATACAGGATATTTTCTAAAAAAAAAAAGAGTTGCTAGATATGTATTTTCAACAGGTGCAGAAGCAATTTGTTTGCAAAAGCAGCTGGCTATAATTCTGCTCCAAAATTACAGCCAGAAGTGATAGATGCTGCACACATGAGAACTCCACCAGCACAGCTGAAGGCAGATGAGGTCAGAAGCTGCTTTGAATACACGGTTGCATCACACGTGACGTGTCATTGCAATTCTCTTTGAGTAAAATGCTGTAGTAGGGTGAAAAGAGATTTTTCTTTTCCTTACCTGTGTAGTTCCTCTTCTGGGGGAGTGAGCAACCGGCACCGAGCATCAACCTTGTCCACTGGGAAATGTAGCAGTGGGTGGGATGAAGGGGGAGATTGCAGGAGAGGAGGGGGAACCCCAGAGCAGCCTCCGAGGCGGTTTTGCTAGAACGCAGGCAGTGTGTGTTTTGCAGCTTTCAGCCTCAGCTGCCGAACCGGTGACTGGCTGCAGGCCTGACGGTGGTGAGGCTGCTCCACTGCACTCCATGCCGAACATCTCACCCCCACCACAAACCCAGTGCTATCTTTAGTCACGTGGCATTTTGGGGGTCCACCATATACATTAGTGCCTGGAGGCAATCTGCATATCTACCCCTGCTTGGAGGGTAGTGATGAAAAAGAAACCCATCTCTTTATGTGGAAGACATACAGGGCTGTTGCTCAGCTTGTAAGGAATCATCAGCACATCTTGGAAGAAATACTTTCACACGAGCCAAGAGGTGCTTACCCACAGCTAATACCCTTCCGTCTAAGCAGATGCCATTCCCTTAGGCTTCAGCAAGTGAAAAGGAAAGATCCTTCCCGACATTCTTGCCAGGAAGATGCATATCCCTGTGTCACTCTCCCTGGAGTCACTGGCAGCCATCTGGCTGGGTTGTTTATGTTATCCCAAGGCAAAATCCCCCCTTTCTCCCTTCAGCATCACCCAGTGCTATTGTTTACCCCCCATGTGCACCAGCGTGCTCATGGATGGGCTCACTTTCTTTTTAGCCCTGTTGGATCAGCAATAAGCTATTCCAGTCTTTATTCACCTACTAATGAATTATACATTGATTATACAATAGAAGCTCTCTACATCGATGGGCTGGGCTCTTGTTCTCCCACATGGCATCTTGCAAAGCGCAGCTAAGCCCAGCTGCAGGTCAGCCCTCTCTGATGCCCTGAGAAAAATGAATGTTCACTGAGCGGGCTCATGAGCTGAGGAGATTGAGTGTGTCTGCACAGGATAAACTCATTTGGGTTTGCCCTTCCTCTGCCGTAACTCCAGTGGGAGTCAATGCTGTTCTTCCTCACCACCCTCCCCTTCCTTGTCCTCCTTATATAACCTAACCCATCACCATAGATACGTTGACATAAATATTTAAAGATGGCAGAGAGACAGACCATGCAGACAAGAGCCATTTGTTGAGTTTATTAGAAGCAGTAACTTCAGGCACTGCTACAGGTTTCTGCTTGTTTCACTGCCTCCCAAAGGCTGCCAGGCAGATACAACCTCCCCAGGCTATCACCGTGCTTCAGCTGAATTTGCAGAACAGGGCACAAGGAGTTTTGGATGAGCAGGTGCCAGCTGCTCCTGCTGGGGTACAGAAAAGGTCTTCTGGAGATGTCCCCCTAGATACACAGATGAGATTCTTGACATGATTTTTCCTACTCAAAATGAGGCCATTGGCTGGCTGCCCAAGGCAAGCCTCTTCTGGGGTGATGGAGATCCACCTTCCCACTGCCATGCCCTTTTTCAGGTCTCTGCTTTGAAAATAAGTATGGCAGGGTGTCGGCTGCCTCCAAAGTTACTCTTACATGCTCTGGGACTATTATCCTCCTGCAGGATGAATTTCTGAGGTTCTTTCACGTACCTCCAAATGTCCTATTTAAGGATTTTTGGTGATGCTGCTGTTGTTTCAGAGTTTTTTTTTTACCAGCACAGGTAAATTGTAAATCTAGGCTATTTCTGTCTTATTTGCCACAGAAAATAAGATGCAGTGGTTAAAAGCTAACTAGGACCTCACCCACAAAATTACATGTGTTTTATTCTCATGGTTTGTACATCATTTTTGTGCTGGCTGTGAGGAGGGCAGGGGGATTGCCATGCAACCAGATTACCACATCAGCAGCCATCCCGCAATCCTCAGTGGATGAGGGACTCCCGTCTACTTTACAAAATCTCCTGGAGACGCTGGGTGTTAGGTGTTTAGAGCCTGCTTCCATGCTAATCCTTCCACAGCCTCGTTACCAGCTCCCCAGGTACTCATGCGAGGTGGGGAGGATGTGGGTCTGTTCTCTCCCCTCATCCCCCTCCATCACTTTTATACAACACAAAGTTCTTTTGTGGAATGGAGCTGCTGGAAGGCTGCAGGCATCTCCCTGGGAGAAGCAGGATCAAAATACCAGGGACTGAGTTTGCAGAGTCCTGCTGGTAAGGGGCAGCCTGCTAAATCCAGGGCTGGGAGGAGGCTCAAGCCACCTGCTTTAACAGACCCTGGTGACTCCTGCCCATAGGGTCAGCTATCCCCAAACCCACAGGCATCACAACTGACCTATAAACAAGTTCACAAAAACACCAACAACACAAGCCCAACAGACAGAGGAAAACCACTGCAAGCACCTCCATTTTCTGCTGCTTCACTGTCTGCAAACCCAATTGCAAAAGCAAATTCAAATGGGCAGAGGAATTCTATTTGGGGTATGGGGTTTTGTTTTGTTTCTTACTTTTTTAGTGTTTATTTTTCAGCACACAAGTCTTGCAGGTAGGTAACTTTTTCACAGACCTGCCTGCAGCTGCCTGCTCTGCAAAGAATTGTGCATTAGCATGGTGCATTGCTGAGCCCTTGAACCAAGCCCATCCTCCCAAAGATGGAAGTCATCAGCCCTATTCATAGCGCTTACACTTGATACCCGCGTGTGACATCGATACCTGAACTGAATGTGTGCAAATTAGTTTTACTTATTTATACAGCAGCATTTTATAAAGAGCTGATAAAGCCACTGAGAGTCTTTGAAATGCAGTTTTGGTACTTTATGGACTGTACAGCAAGTAGTACAGCATGAGAAATGAAAATACAACACCTGAAATCACACATAATCTGGGGAAACAGTATGTATTATCTTGACACTGTTATCACAGTGGTGGTTATTTTCTTCCTGTACATTGAGGTCAAAGTTTTCAAAGGTACCCAGCTGAGCTCCTAAAATAAATAAATAATAATAAAAACAACCCTAAACAAAGCAAACAAAAAGATGTTTGGACAAATCTTGAAATCCTTTTCCACTTCCAAGTTTTGGAGAGGACTTCCTTTGTACAGCCAGATGCGTGAGCCCAGTTTATACCCAGTAAGTTTTAGCCTGTAACTGGGAGCTTTTTGATGCAGGAGATGGTGGGGCTGTGCCCCTGCTCTCCCTGTCAGAGCCACATCCGTGCCTCAGCTCTGCGCAGGATGGGATCCAACATAGCCCAAAGGAAAGTCCCAGAAACAAGACTGTGTTAACTCCAAACCAGATTGTTTGCTAATACAGTTTTTGGAGGGTATGAAAATGTTTATTTCTTGGTTTCCATTTTCCTTCATTTCCCAGCATAAGAGAAAAAAAGGCAGAAAGCAGGAAAAGAGAAGCAACAGTGACAAAAAAGAAACAACAATGAAGCAATCCCAAGCTCCCCAGAAGCAGATTCAATGCCAAATTCGTGGCAGTGATTGCATCTGGGGTTGCCTGCTCTCCAGTGCACAGAAGTTGATTTGAGTCATATTCCTTCACAGCCGTGGGGCTGCTGCTGCTGAAGGTCTTATCGGTTTGCAGCTGGTTCCTTCCTCTCCCTCACACAGACTCTCCAAGCAGTGCCTCTGAGAGTTTTCCTGGAAACTAATGCATGACGGGCTCTGTGATTCATGCAGCCACCTATCTTCAGTGTCTGTGTAGGGTTGGGGGGTATTTTCATTTTGATATTTATAGCTGGACAGGATGAAGATGCAGAAAAGAAAATGTTGTGGGATGCTATGATGTAGCAAGTGAGCAACTTCAGGATCCTGCTGT